ACGCACCCGAAAACATTTCTCACCGGTGTCAATAAAGTTATACAAATCTGTCCTTGAGCGGGAATCCAACTCGGGCGCCGGGTTCGTGGTGCAGTGGAACATACCGCTCCACGACCGCACACACAGACACAACACGTACGAAGCTGATAATCGCCACCTACCCGATGATAAGACGCGCACTCACAGTTTGCTTTCAACTACAGTTAGGCTAAACGCACGCTATTTGCGTTGATGCTAGTGGGTTAATGGTCCAACTTTTAGTAGTAGTAGTAATCATAATAAACACTTAGCGTGAAGGTTTCTAATTCCCGGTTCTCCAAATGTGTTGACAGCCCGGGGAGTCCCCGACATATCGACTGCGACACAGAGGGAGCGTTTGCGGAGAGCAGCCGTGACCCTAATTGAGGCCGTGTCTTTAGAATTCAATCAAATAAAACAGCACAGGTAGTTTACCAACGTGAAATGTCGATGACTGTGGACTTATCGCTTTCCTAACATGTGCAAGTCTACAACTATATGACTCTTAACCATGCAGGCCTGAGCAATATTTTTGTTGGAAGTCAATTGGCCGATGGGGCAGTACAAAGTCATTGTACTGATATGTACAAACACAGCGCTTGATTTCTCAATACAGTGAGGGAAAAAAAGTATTTGATCCCCTGCTGATTGTGTACGTTTGCCCACTGACGAAGAAATGATCAGTCTATAATTTTAATGGTAGGTTTATTTGAACAGTGAGAGACAAAATAACAACAACAAAATCCAGAAAAACGCATGTCAAAAATGTTATAAATTGATCTGCATTTTAATGAGGGAAATAAATATTTGACCCCCTCTCAATCAAAAAGATTTCTGGCTCCCAGGTGTCTTTTATACAGGTAATGAGCTGAGATTAGGAGCACACTCTTAAAGGGAGTGCTTCTAATCTCAGCTTGTTACCCGTATAAAAGACACCTGTCCACAGAAGCAATCCATCAATCAGATTCCAAACTCTCCACCATGGCCAAGACCAAAAACCTCTCCAAGGATGTCAGGGACAAGATTCTAGACCTACACAAGGCTGGAATGGGCTACAAGACCATTGCCAAGCAGCTTGGTGAGAAGGTGACAACAGTTCGTGCGATTATTCGCAAATGGAAGAAACACAAAAGAACTGTCAATCTCCCTCGGCCTGGGGCTCCATGCTAGATCTCACCTCGTGGAGTTGCAATGATCATGAGAACGGTGAGGAATCAGCCCAGAACTACAGGGAGGATCTTGTCAATGATCTCAAGGCAGCTGGGACCATAGTCACCAAGAAAACAATTGGTAACACACTACGCCGTGAAGGATTGAAATACTGCAGCGCCCGCAAGGTCCCCTTGCTCAAGAAAGCACATATACATGCCCGTCTGAAGTTTGCCAATGAACATCTGGATGATTCAGAGGACAACTGGGTGAAAGTGTTGTGGTCAGATGAGACCAAAATGGAGCTCTTTGGCATCAACTCAACTCGCCGTGTTTGGAGGAGGAGGAATGCTGCCTATGACCCCAAGAACACCATCCTCACCGTCAAACATGGAGGTGGAAACATTATGCTTTGGGGGTGTTTTTCTGCCAAGGGGACAGGACAACTTCACCGCATCAAAGGGACGATGGACCGGGCCATGTACCGTCAAATCTTGGGTGAGAACCTCCTTCCCTCAGCCAGGACATTGAAAATGGGTCGTGGATGGGTATTCCAGCATGACAATGACCCAAAACACATGGCCAAGGCAACAAAGGAGTGGCTCAAGAAGAAGCACATGAAGGTCCTGGAGTGGCCTAGCCAGTCTCCAGACCTTAATCCCATAGAAAATCTGTGGAGGGAGCTGAAGGTTCGAGTTGCCAAACGTCAGCCTCGAAACCTTAATGACTTGGAGAAGATCTGCAAAGAGGAGTGGGACAACATCCCTCCTGAGATGTGTGCAAACCTGGTGGCCAACTACAAGAAACGTCTGACCTCTGTGATTGCCAACAAGGGTTTTGCCACCAAGTACTAAGTCATGTTTTGCAGAGGGGTCAAATACTTATTTCCCTCATTAAAATGCAAATCAATTTATGACATTTTGACATGCGTTTATCTGCATTTTGTTGTTGTTATTCTGTCTCTCACTGTTCAAATAAACCTACCATTAAAATTATAGACTGATCATTTCTTTGTCAGTGGGCAAACATACAAAATCAGCAGGGGATCAAATGCTTTTTTCCCTCACTGTAAATATTTTGAAAAACGCTGCAAGGCTGACTTGGAGTAGATATTAGCAGCAAGAGTACAAAGTACACCTATCCATAACATTGTTGTATTGTTGTGACCTATATTCCTATAATCCTGTGAACGGGCTTAGGACAAAATAAGGCGAGATGGATGTGGCGTGCCAACCGTAATCCCTGAAATAGCGATCCGGACTGTTCCAAGTTGGAATTAAGCACTGCCTCTACCCATAGTGACCCACACACACACACATATGACACTTTCGCTTCCAATGAGTCTTTACAATCTCACTTTGGCCTAGGTGCGGCCAACATGAATGCAACACTCCCCAGGGATCCGCGTCACCCACAAGGTCGCACCTCGAGTAACCTTCTACAAATCACGACAAATTGACCTCAACAATTGCGCCGCGCCGCTTGAAGCAAGGAGCCTCCGCTGCGTTGCACTCGTTTGTTTATGCGCGTGTGACCTGTGTGTGCCTTGCTTACTGTGATGAGGTCATGTTGCGGTAAATTCACCTCGATGTATACTATATATATACAGTATACAGGGCACCGCGGTGGCGAGATGTCAACTACCTCGCCTGGTATACAGGAGGTTGTGGGTTCGACCCCCGACCCTGACGACTGTACATTTGGCGCTTGCATGTTCCCGTGGTCGCGTGGATTTTTCTCCCCCGCTTTTTCCCTCCACATTTAGAAACACGCGTTTAGAGTATTTGGCTGCTATCCATGTCCTCGTGATAAGCCACTTCGTTGGGCTATAATTTGTGGCCAGGTCGCTTCTGAAAAAGAGCTATATAGCTCAGTGGGCTTTACCTTGTAAAATAAAATGAAAATGTTCAGTTTAAGAGTTTGAATGCCTCACACGTTGCTGACTCGGTCGGTACCTATTTATGCGCTATCATTATCACCATCATCATCAGTCAAAGTCGATCCACTGCTGAATGACGGCCTTCCCAAGCGGCCGTCACCCTCAACGATCCTGCGATGTAACAATGCGAGTTATGAATTGCACATGAATTGACCACTGTGGTTGTGTATGTATAAAGGCACTGTACACGAAAAAAATCACAAGCTTGAGTGACGGGAAGGCTTCTCGCATTTCCAGCCAATCTGGATGGCCACTGTCTGCAGTGTAAGACATTCGGGAATAAATAATACATTCAGGGCGACTCGAGAAATGTCCAGGCGGTCTGTCTGATTTTTGAAGGGGTTTGCTGGCCATCTCCCGAAGCATTGCGTTTGATTTGTCTGAACATCGTTTTTAAATATATATATGGTTTACAGTTCCGGCAACTGGAGGCAAGCGCATAGCAGTTTTACGTACGAATATACGTGTGTGTATATACAGTATATACACAACTAAAATAAGTCAATAATTATACAACTCCATGACTGTACTTATTTGGTGATGCTGGGTTGGCAGTGCTAAACAGTCATCAACAACACTCAACACATACGTCAATAACATTCGTGGGCCGATGAGAATAAAACAAATAATTGGCGACGTGTTGGAACAATGGCCCTTTCTTCACAGCGCATACAACAACTGCTATGAAGAACAACCCTTAAAGAAGGGCCATTGCACACGAAACGCCACCTATTACATCTATGCATATGTCCTCTTTTAAGGCCACAGCGGCGCTACTTACGCATGTGTTGTGGTCCCCCACCACCACCACCACCACTCCACGGCTGTATGAAACTAAAGCGACCAAAACTATCTCAATCCTCATCGAGGCGCACGCCTGTGACTCGCGAGCCCCACGCTGATCTGCTGCGCTAAGGCGCAGCACGTACACCGGGGCCCATTGAGGTGGCGGATCGCGTGGAATGCCACCGGGAGTGGTGATGTGACGCTGACCTCATTAGCGCAAGGATTATAGCGGCAGCGGCGGCCACGTTTATTGTGAAATATATAGGTCACCGGTTTCACTGCGGCGGCGCTGGCTAAGAATGCTGCTCGCTTTTCACGTTGCGCATGCTACGTGCAAGCACCGCGTGTACAATAACGCCAGTGAACAAAACATCGCTCGCTCGCAGGCACGCATACACACACGCACACACACCGCAATAGTGTGAGGGACAGCGTCGCGGTCATAATGAAAGAGCTTAAATGAAGAAGACAAGCTAAAACGATTCAGAGGTTTTTTTTATTTTATTTTCGAGTGATGCTGTTACTACACCACGCTGCGTTCAGATGGAGCCCTGTCATAGACTGCAATGCCCGTCGCTTTAGAAACCTGACGATGGTGGTAACGGTGCAATGCTTCCACCACGCGAGCTACAATCAAATGTGGGTGCGCAGTGCGCGCGTCGCGGGCTGCAATATACGTTAGTGTAGTCGTAGTTCTGTGTTTGGAATATTCAATACAAAACAGCGTAACTTCCCTCCCCCGTTACCCTCCATATCCACCGCCGCCCCCCCCCCAAATAAAGACCCCCCCCAAATAAAGACCCCCCCCCATTCTTCATCTCCCCACTCGCAGCTAAACTGTTTCATTTGCTCCGCCCTCGCTCCCATTGTGCCGACCGCGCCGCTCGCTGCAGCTCGTCGCTCGCGGCCACACAAAGACGGCGGAGGCTAAAAGTTTTCGCTTTTCAGTGGCCCTCCTCCAAAGCTCTCTGGACCCTCCTCCCGCGAGTCGTTAGCGGGGGCCTCGCCGCGAGGAGCAATACAAGCGTTGTGTAATTAGAGAGGTTATTTTGTTTTGTGTCTTGTAGTTCCACCACCACACCACCACCCCCCCCCCCTTTTTTGTCGTCGTCCCCCCCCCCACCCTTTCGAAGTCTCCGCCCCATCAGGCGCAGACAAAGACGGTGCGGCCATACGGGGTCCTCCGAGTGCCCCCCCCCCCCTCCACCCCCTACATTGAAGAGGCGAAACGGGGGTAGCGAACGAGCAAAGAAAGGACAACATGACAGCCGTTATAATGGCTCCGTGCTAATAAGCTCTCCACAAACAGCGCTTTGTTGCGCTGTCTAAGAGTATTTACAGAATCACCTCCGCTCCTAATCGCTTCCTGATTTTGCCCCTGCGTCTCTCCATAGGTGGCGGAGAGAGGCGTCGAGGGAGGCGAAAGCTGGCGACCGAGGAGGGCTCCGCTGGCGTGAAACCTGCAGCACAAAGAGAGAAAGAGAGAGAGAGAGACAGAAAAAGAGGGGGGATATTTTATAAAAACACACATTTAGCGCCCGCGTTAATTATGCACCAGATCTCTTGTCTCTGAGCGTGTCGGCGCGTTGGATTTTCTGCAAAACGAAGTTGATGCTGCAAGCGAAATCGATGTACATGCTGGTGGTCAGGATGTCCTGTGAACCTCATTTAATTCTCTAAAGCGTAATATATTTTTTTTGTAGCTGAGGTTTGTTTAAAACAGAAACGAATATACAAAGGAACAAACACATGCTAGGGGTTAATTAATTGGGGTTACAAGACATCTGGACCACCCCTCTACATTGCCATGATAACCTTCACAGATGCTCGCTAACATTCTGGTTAAGGATTTGTCTTTGTGTGTGGTTGGGTGATTCATATAGCGGGGGTGCAGCAGGGGTCAGCGCTACGCTGCGCTACGAACCCGGCGAGCCGAGTTCGATTCCCGCTCACGGCCAACAACAGTGACAATTAGTTGAACCGGTTGATCTAGGCCTCCCCTAGATCGACTCAGCCTCAAATGAGTACCTGGTGCGATGTGTTAAACATCGCTACTCGGGAGACAAAGGCGGGCGTGGTGCTGGCCACCCACTCCCCCGTATGCCGTTCCAGCCTTCACAGGTGCTCGCTAACGGCACACTTGTTCTAACAGTCTGTAAAGGCTATACGAGGGGATCTTTGTGTTTTAGTGTTTCATATTTAAGCATTGTACATGTACGTATGAATAGCGATATTATTAAATGCAGGACACAACGAGGACGAGAAGAGATGATGATGCTGGTGGTGATGATGATGATGCTGGTGATGATGATGATGATACTGGTGATGATGATGCTGCTGGTGGTGATGATGACGATGGTGGTGGTGATGATGACGATGGTGGTGATCATAATAATAACGATGGTGATTATAATGGTGGTGACGATAATGTCGATGGGCGAGGTTGGAGACGGAATGGCAGCCACAGAGAAGGGAGAGGGAACGCGCCACAAGGGAAACCACAACGGAGGAAGCGGAGCTGTAACGAGGCCGACTCACGGCGCGCGGCGTGGGGAGGCATTCATCCAGCAGTAGGTAGACAATGGACGATACTGACAACGACGACGATGATCGTGTTGGTGACTGCATAAACATAACGCTGGTGTGCGTGTTCAGAGTGCGCGTGCCAGTCGTGACGATGGTAACGAGGATGCTCGCGCGCGCGCGGGTCTCGGAGGCTATGGCGACGACGATGATGGTGGCGGTGATGATGGTGGTGGTGGTGAATAACCCCCGTGGTGTCAGCCATGGGTGTTGCGCAAACAAGGGCTCGCCTTGTGTTGCCAACACGCGTCAACGAGAGGGCATCTCCTCCTCCTCCTCCTCGCATCCACCGACTCGGCGTCCTTGGCCGCACAATGCATCCAAAGGTCGCTCGCTTGCACGACGCAGTAACGCCGCCGGAGACCCCGGGTCTAACGTAGTAGGCGTTTATCTTTCTGAAGTCGATACGTTTTTATTTTTCGTCCATTTCTGTACAAACGCCCCCTTTCCCTCCACCTCGCGTCGGTTTAGGGGTGTGTGTGTTTTGTTGATTCGCCATACTTCACCACGCTTTGTCAGTGCGGGTTGGGGGTCTCGATGGGGGGGGGGGGGCCTGGGCCAGCGGGGAGAGAGGGACAGGGCCGATTGAGATGTCACTCATCATGGAATGGGGTTTTTTGTGTGTGTGCGTTTAAACCGTGGCCGGGAGTCCAACTCGTATCAGCTGAGGTCACAGGCGCAATGTGCTAACCACTGTGCCACCACCGCTAAACGTGGGTATATATTTGATGTGTGCGTATACATATATACTGTAGAAACAATGTTTTATTAGGCATGCGGCTATATATGTATGTGTATATATAATTGCCTTTTTTATGCGAAGATCCTCGATTTGTCTATATGACTAAATGTTGAGGCCAGTACTATTGACATTCAGCATTAAGGTAGTAACGTGCACGCATTGTGTGCAATTGACCTGCTTCAACAGCACTGCATATATGTGTACACAAAACAATGTAAATTCAGTGTTGATTGTAAAATAGAACAATTCAAGAAAATGTAAAACATCAAATCCGATAACAAATGTTTCGTTTACAAGGAAACGCGTTGGATAACGACATTTAGTCGCATTAGTGTTCGATATCGACCTCTGTTGCACTGTAAATAATTAACATTTACTATATTTTATCCCTAAATACCACTATGCGTAATATGTTTGGTTTTATTTGATCAAAAGCGGCAGCGTTATACAGCATTCTTACTAGATAATTAACCACAGACAAAGACTAAGATCCCCCACATAGCCTTCACATACTCTTGGGGCAAGTGCAATCACAGACACACTCATCACGCGCGTGTGTTGCTGATAATATGACCATATCGTTTATATTATTATTAGTACGTACCATATATGTGTTGATTTTATTTAAAACACTTAACACACCCAAATATATATTTCCATAACGAAAACGCACGTGTTTAACAGCTGATGTCTTTCTTACGTTAAAACTAATTATTTTAACATACGTAGATACTGTACATATGTGCCATATTAAATCGTGTACACAATGCAGTCGATATATTTCGAACTGGCATCGTCAATAGATATACGAAGAGCGTGCACGTCCTCATGCGTGTACACGAAAATGTGCTGTGAGAAGGTGAATACGAGTCAGTATATCTAAATAATTATTCCAACTCATGAGCTCGAAAAATAGTAAATATTTTCAACGTAAAAATGCGTTTTGTGGGTTCATGTGGTTACAATGACATAGGGTTAATCCGTGTCAGCATATATACATTTTAATATATACACGAGCGCGTATGCGTGATGCATATTGTGCGTGATTATTTAAACGCCGCGTGTGTGTGTGTGGTTTAGTTTAGCGTACGTCCACTGCTGGGCGAGGGTCATGCGGGTTGTTTGGCCATATTTCACCACGCTAGTGAGTGCGGATTGGTGCAGGGGATGGTGGTGGTGGGTGGGTGGATCGGAATCATATATCACTTACCACTGATGTTAGCCGTAGACGGGAATCGAACGAACTATTCATAGCAGGCGGAGTGCGCCAACCACTATGCCACCGCTCCCCGGCCAGGTGGCTCAACCAGTAGGGTCAGCAACTCGAATCGGAAGGTTGTAAGGTAAAGAAGTTGACTCAGCCCACAATCCCTGCGGGGATAGATACAATTAGTAGCACTCCGTGTGGAAGTCAACAGCGATTGTCTTATGAATTTGACTCTCTTCCGCCATAGGAATGTGGAATTTCCACCACTGATGCAGGGCTGTATACGGGAGCCGGGCACCGCCTCGATGCTCACTTGAGCAAGAACTATGTTTGACCTCTCCCATTGGTGTGTGTGTGTCTGTGGAAAGAGAAGAAGCCGAGTGCTGGTGCACCTACTACCCACGCGCTGCAGACAAGCGGTGCGCGGCTCTCTCCATCCTGGACCCTGGCCTCGGCGGTTCCTCTATAGAGCCAAGAGAGGAAATAAAATATCGCATGGCCGAATGAAAAAGAGCAAGGCCTTTTAGAGAGGTGGAGGAGGGAGAGGTCTGAGAGGGGAGGGGCAGGGGGAACCCTCGCTGATGGAGCTGTGCTTGCGAGTGTAACACTGCGCCGTAGCCACGGGCGCCTGGGTTCCTGTACCCATCAGCGACTCCTTCGGCATCAAAACAGCGTCCCGCTTTGTAGCGACCCCGGGATGTGAAGCTCTCCGTCGGCCGCTCGCGAGGGCATTGCGCCTTAGCGAATCGTGCGCGCGCGTGTGCTCGTCGCCAGCATCCGCAGCATCCGCAGCAGCAGCATCTGCAGCAGCAGCAGCATCCGCAGCATCAGCAGCAGCATCAGCAGCAGCAGCAGCAGCAAATCACCTGCTGGGTGGCCGGATGAACAAAGGACTCTCAAAAAGCGGTCACAGTTACTCGCGATTTTCGCGGTGTAACAGTTTACCAGCCACCTACCTTGATTTCATCGTTCCATCTCCTTCCTCGGTTGTGAAAAAAAAAACTCTTTCGGACGCGTACCTCTCCCTTAATTGTCTGCCACTCACTCCGTCACGTGTGCATGCACACACACACACACGTGTACATGCTTACACACGTGTACAAAAGATCCCCCATATAGCCTTTGCAGACTGTAGGGGCAAGTGCTGTTAGCGAGCACCTATGAAGGCCGGAAAGGTACACGAGGGGGTGGGTGGCCAGCAACACGCCCGACCGTCTTTGTCTCCCCAGTGGCGATGTTTACACACCGCACCAGGTAATCATTTTAGGCTGAGTCGACCTAGGGGAGGCCCGGGACCGGTTCAGATAATCGTCACTGGTGTTAGCCGTGAGCGGGAATCGAACTCGGGTCGCCAGGTTCATAGCGCAGCGCGCTAAACACTACACCACCGCTCCCCACTCGTGTCCATGCACACACACGTGTATACACACACACGTGTACACACACACACACGTGTATACACACACGTGTACACACACACATGCACTTGCAAACACTCGTGTACTTGCACACGCACGTATACACACACTCGTGTTCATGCACACACACGTGTCCATGCACACACGTGTACACACACACTCGTGTACATGCACACACTCGTGTACATGCACACTCTCGTGTTCATCCACACACTCGTGTACATGCACACACTCGTGTACATGCACACACGTGTACACACACACGTGTACATGCACACACTCGTGTTCATCCACACACGTGTACACACACTCGTGTACATGCACACACTCGTGTACATGCACACACGTGTACACACACACATGTACTTGCAACACTCGTGTACATGCACACGCACGTATACACACACTCCTGTTCATGCACACACTCGTGTTCATCCACACACTCGTGTACATGCACACACACACGTGTCCATGCACACACTCGTGTACATGCACACACACGTGTCCATCCACACACGTGTACATGCACACACTCGTGTACATCCACACACGTGTACATGCACACACACGTGTGCATGCACACACACGTGTACATCCACACACGTGTACATGCACACACTCGTGTACATGCACACACGTGTACACACACGTGTACATGCACACACTCGTGTTCATCCACACACGTGTACACACACTCGTGTACATGCACACACTCGTGTACATGCACACACGTGTACACACACACATGTACTTGCAACACTCGTGTACATGCACACGCACGTATACACACACTCCTGTTCATGCACACACTCGTGTTCATCCACACACTCGTGTACATGCACACACACACGTGTCCATGCACACACTCGTGTACATGCACACACTCGTGTACATGCACACACACGTGTCCATCCACACACGTGTACATGCACACACTCGTGTACATCCACACACGTGTACATGCACACACACGTGTACATGCACACACACGTGTACATCCACACACGTGTACATGCACACACGTGTACATGCACGCACACACACGTGTACATGCACACACACGTGTACATGCACGCACACACACGTGTACATGCACACACACGTGTACATGCCCATGCGCGCACGCGCGCGCGAACACGCGTTCAACAACAATCGGCAATGTTTCGACTCGTCTTTCACAACGCGAATATGTGAAGAAGAATAGTCGACGCGCAATGCATTATCATCATCATCGTCCGAGCCGCTGGCCATGACGATCGATGGTCAAGAACACGAATAATAACCGAGTTGGGTATGCCAGTGCATAGGACGCGATAGCAACTACGCCCGCCGAGGAGATGGAGCGATGATGACATCGGTTCCGTATCGCTGGAGCTTAGGCGGATGGCGACATCACGGCATCGCGAGAGGCGGATTGCGGGTCGAGGAGAGGGAGGGCCTTCATCCAGCAGTGGATTGACCGCGGCTCACGAACGAAGACACAGAACACACAACAAAGCCTCGGCCTCGCAGCGGTGCAGATTTGTTTTTTCTTCTGAAAGTCATCGGATGTGTCCCCAACGTGATGTATCATCCGAACCGTAGCCACAGGGCGGGTTCTGTCGGAGTATCAGGAGAACCGGAATGTAGCCCGCTTCACTCAAGGTAGGCTGACACACACAATCAGCAATCAACCGCTAATACAATGTGTGTGTGTGTGTAAAGTACAGTGAGAACACAACACAATATGCGATACTGCTCCGGTGTGAATGGTTAGCGGCGCGCTGGACAATGAATCCAGAGGTCGTCGGATCGATTGGATCTCCCGTTTGAAGCAATGGTGCAAGTTTTTGAAAGCCTCCCGCCTCTGTCCAGCGGGAAGTATAGATGGGAAGGCAATTCGTCGTCGTTAGTATTTCATAATAATAGTAACGGTGGCATGTGGCGTAAGTACTGTAGAAACAATGTCTGCGTCTGGGACCAAGGTTCGTGAATCACGCTCTCGCCCAGAAATACCACTTCCTTACTCTATCGGGACCCCTTGTACACTTCTGGGAAATATTGCAAGGATATTTATAAGATTTTCTTTTAAATTATGGCCACGGTTGGCTATGTTTAAAAATGTCTTGCACGAACGTTTGTAAAACGATTGCTGTTGAATATGTCTGTGTATGCAAAGGTGCACTCCCGTAGCAATCACTCGATGCACCATGAGCCAAGAAGATTAATAAACATGGACAATAAAGTGCGTGCTGAAAAAACATCAGTTGTATCCGAACCTGACAATCTTATCACAATAAATCTACGAGAGAAAAAAAGCATCTGCAATACAGCAAACATCACCTGGACTCGGCATCCCATGCAAGTTAATGTGCTTTTTTGTAATACAGTATATGTGTGTTGAACTTCTTTCGCACCGTAGGTAGCCACTCTTGCTTAATCGCAGGTGCATGTGGACAGGGCAAACAAGGTAGGTTATGAATGCCGCATTTATCCATCAATATATAGAACGCACAACCCTAAACATTTATCCATCAATCTATAGAACGCACAACCCTAAAAATGTGCTACGCTGTGCATTACAAGAACGTTGAGCGGCCACGCACAGAACGTTAGGCCCACGGCTGGAATGTCACCGCGAGATGCGTGCGTGAGATTCTACCTGGATCCTTCCGTGATGCCAGATGACACCACCGCGTGCGGGACTGTCTGCCGTGGTCCTTGCGAGAGCGCCGAATGAGCGGCGGCGAGAGGACACGGAGCGGACCGGTCGGTTTTTTTTATTTTTTTTATGATTATTATTTTTTTGCGCCGTTAGTGGGGAAGAACTTGTCAGGATTAATAAAGTGTCGAGGCCGGTTCACCGCCATCTGCCCGGCTCGCTCCGATATCGCGAGAGCGCAGCCGCCGCTACGAGCAAGCTTCAGATGCCGCTACGAGATTAGAGCCGGCGGAATGGGGGGGCAAGGCGAGCGGACGCCGGCCCGCTCGAATTATGAGCCAACACCGGCGCCTTATCTGTCCGAGAGCAACTGTATTGTCCAATGTTAAGGGGATTAACTGCTTATCTTGCGCGCAATCAAATTTGTCGCGTGTACGCCGGCGCTAATTTGCGGAGTCATTATCATGCCTCTCCCACCCCGCCGTTCGCCGCTGTCTCTTCTCTGCGAGGGGAAAGTATTCTGGCTGGCGGTTAAACGAGGGCTCAGGCTGAAAGGCATGAAATTTGCCTTTCAATCTGCCCCGTGTAATGTTAGAAAACAGTGTGTTAATCGTCTTAGAACTCGCGGGGCGATGTACTAATTTGTTATGGATTAAGCGGGCCATGGCGCAGGCGCACACGCTCAGTGCGCTCAAAGCTCCGTGACCACGCGCTCACTGACTCACACACACAAGAAGACAAAGATCCCCCGTATAGCCTTGACAGACTTTTGGGGCAAGTGCTGTTAGCGAGTACCTATGAAGGCCCGCACGGCACCACGAGGTGAGTGGATGGGTGGCCAGCACCGCGCCCGGTCGCCTTTGTCTCCCTAAGTGGCGACGTTCCTACAACGCACCTGGTCGTCATTTGAGGCTGAGTCGACCTAGGGGAGGCCCGGGACCGGTTCAGATAATCGTCACTGGTGTTGGTGGTTGACCGTGAGCGGGAATCGAACCCGGGTTTGTGCCGTGTCCGGAGCGCGGCGCGCTCACCGCTGCACCACCGCTCCCTACACGCGCTCACCGCTGCACCACCGCTCCCCACACGCGCTCACCGCTGCACCACCGCTCCCCACACGCGCTCACCGCTGCACCACCGCTCCCCACACGCGCTCACCGCTGCACCACCGCTCCCCACACGCGCTCACCGCTGCACCACCGCTCCCTACACGCGCTCACCGCTGCACCACCGCTCCCCACACGCGCACGCCGGGCGCGATGCACGGCAGCTCCATCGCGGCGCATTCCACCAGATTTATTCCAGGCAACGGGAGCCAGTGGTGCTTGAGCTCTGATTCTTCTTATTATTTGACAGCGGTGCAGCAGTGCAAGTAGGACACGATGTGCCGCCGGTGAGCGTTCACCCACCACGATGCCAAGAGACACATGGTGGAGTTTGCGACGCTGTGCGGAAGTCTGGGAAACGAGAAGAAATTCTCACAATTCGCGTGCTCTGGTCCGAGTACTAACCAACGCTATGCTGATTTTTCTTCCCCTTCTTTTCTCGCCCCCCCCCCCCTCTCCCCTTGCCCCCCCCCCCACCCGCCTGATCGGCCCCTCTCTTCTCCTCTTGTTTTTTTTTTTGTTTGGCCCATTTGCCACACCGCTCGTCCCAGCGTGCAGAGCCACGATGCAATCCGCCGCGAAGTCAAAGCACTTCGGCTGCTGTCGCGAGCAATGGTGGCGTCATTGGGCTCGCAGCTTGCTCAATTAAATTTGGGGTAAAATCAAGGACGAAACAACCCGGACCATGTGCGTGCGTGTTTTTAGGCGGAGCGGTGGCGCTACGAACTCGGCGACCCGACTTCGAGTCTCGCTCACAGCCAACATCAGTGAATGTCTGAACCGGTCCTGGGCCTCCACATGGTCGAATCGGCCTCAAATGAGTACCTGGTGCGGTGTGCATCAAACATCGGCGGTGTGGAGACGAAGGAGGCCGGGCGTGGTCCTCGCCACCAACACCCCCCCCCCCCCACCCCGCGTGCCGTGTCGGCCTTCATAGGTGCTCGCCAACAGCACTTGCCCCAAGAGTCTGTCAAAGGCTATATGGGGAACCTTTGTCTTTGCGTGGATAAAATACGATAAGGTGTTTGGTTTTTTTTTTTGGACATGAGTAAATGCATGTACCTGACGAGCTGCGAATGACGAGATTAAATTAGGCGACCGAGTTCACAAAGGTTATATTTTACATCTTCTTACATTTCCACATTCATCACCCACGCGTTATTTGTAACGCTGCTCAGTGACTATGGCGGCGATCGATCGCCCTTCCCTCCGCCAACAACCCTCACGGATTGCGATTCGTACAGAATAGAACGTTCAATATACCTACGCATTCCAGATGAAGTTCCGTAGACGTAACGTGATTACGTGAATACATAAATGAAACTGGCAGCAAATGGTTCAATTAGTCTTATTACGTAAGTCGCACGTTTCCAATTTGGCGACAGTTGCTGTTGGAGGACAGCTCTTCCCGTCCACGGCGTTCTACGTCTCATCGCAGGCATCCCGATCCGTCCAGAGTGCTGGCATTATTCACGGAGGGACGTGGGGGAGATCTATAACAGTTGATTATGTGCCCTCCTTTAGCGTGCATATATGTTTACTGTGACTGCATGGTGGTTTTTTTTTACACATTCGGCTTAAATTGTACATGTTCAATTTAGGGAATTTAGTTGTAATTTTTTTTTTAAAAAAGTGTTTTTATTTTCATTTAAAATCTTAGCTAGATCAACTCGGGGTGGGGGGGGGGGGGAGCAAACTAGTTGCATTTCATTGTCTGTGAAATTTTAATAGAACTTACATAAAATATGCGGTACTGTGCATACAACAGCAGCTGGAGCGGCGGTCAGAATGAATCCACAGCTGGATGAAGAACCTCCCCCCCCCCTCCTCCTCCTCCTAAACCCACCACCAGCCTCCGTGCACGATCGCGCGCTATAATATCCCACCTCCAGCCCATGAGCTGATGCCAGCGTCGCTCCAGCACGGCACCGATCTCACATCTCGAACTATGATAGGACAGCAGCAGCAGTAGCAGCAACAACAACAACAAGACGATCATCAGATGAGATAATAACCACGGGATACAAAGCCAGAATGCCCCCGCCTTTCCCTCCAAAGCCTAGATGCAAGTGTAGATCCTTGTGAATGGAATCTCACCCCCCCCCCCCGCGCCCCCCCCCTTGCCCTGTTCCTTGGCCCACGGTTCCGGGCCATGCGAGCCGCACGTGGCGACCCCTTCCCCTATGCGCACTCACACAGTCCCTTTGTGCCCCAGTCCATTGTGTGAGTCAGGCCCTGTTCACTACCGCCATCTAGTAACATTATTGTAACTTGGAACGCTCAGTGGCATACAGAGGCTCCGACGCTACGCGTTCCATTCATGTGTGTGTGTGTGTATTGAATAGTATGACAATTAAAACCGTTGCAATTATTTGTTTTGTTAAAATACTTTCGACGCCTTTGTTAAGGTCCTACCCACCCACGCCGTGTCGGTTTACAAGAGTGTGGTGGGTGGGGTGTGACTCTTCTTCACCAAGTTGGTCTCGTCGGTGCAGGGCGGTGTTGGTTGAGGTGTGGGCATGACCTGTTCGGACATGTGTACCATTTCAAGGCACTGGGTGGGTAACCGCTCCTTGTTTTTTTTTTGTTACAACGATGAAAATCATTCTAATAAACTGTCCTCGTTGGGGAGAGTTTCTGTGTGTGCGTGGTGTTTGTCACCCACCCCCTTCGTGTGCCGCGCGAACAGCACTTGCCCCAACAGTCTGTTAAGGCTATAACGGGGGGGGGGGGGTGGGGGGCAATTGACAAAGAAAGGGAGCCCCAAGTTTATGGGGAGAAATGGTCTCCGTGAACTTTGGCCACCGTGTATGTTTGTGTTCGTTCTCTACCGCTCGTTCTCTCCCGCTCATTCTCTACCTCTCATTCTCTACCTCTCATTCTCTACCTCTCATTCTCTACCTCTCATTCTCCACCTCTCATTCTCTACCTCTCATTCTCTACCTCTCATTCTCCACCTCTCGTTCTCTACCTTTCGTTCTCTACCTCTCATTCTCTACCTCTCATTCTCTACCTCTCATTCTCTACCTCTCATTCTCTACCTCTCGTTCTCTACCTCTCATTCTCTACCTCTCATTCTCTACCTCTCATTCTCTACCTCTCATTCTCTACCTCTCATTCTCTACCTCTCATTCTCCCCTGGTCGTTCTCTACCTCTCATTCTCTACCTCTCATTCTCTACCTCTCATTCTCTACCTCTCGTTCTCTACCTCTCATTCTCTACCTCTCATTCTCTACCTCTCGTTCTCTACCTCTCGTTCTCTACCTTTCGTTCTCTACCTCTCATTCTCTACCTCTCATTCTCTACCTCTCATTCTCTACCTCTCATTCTCTACCTCTCATTCTCTACCTCTCATTCTCTACCTCTCATTCTCTACTGCTCGTTCTCTCCCGCTCATTCTCTACCTCTCATTCTCTACCTCTCATTCTCCCTTGGTCGTTCTCTACCTCTCATTCTCTACCTCTCATTCTCTACCTCTCATTCTCTACCTCTCGTTCTCTACCTCTCATTCTCTACCTCTCATTCTCTACCTCTCATTCTCTACCTCTCATTCTCCACCTCTCATTCTCTACCTCTCATTCTCTACCTCTCATTCTCCACCTCTCGTTCTCTACCTTTCGTTCTCTACCTCTCATTCTCTACCTCTCATTCTCTACCTCTCATTCTCTACCTCTCATTCTCTACCTCTCGTTCTCTACCTCTCATTCTCTACCTCTCATTCTCTACCTCTCATTCTCTACCTCTCATTCTCTACCTCTCATTCTCTACCTCTCATTCTCCCCTGGTCGTTCTCTACCTCTCATTCTCTACCTCTCATTCTCTACCTCTCATTCTCTACCTCTCGTTCTCTACCTCTCATTCTCTACCTCTCATTCTCTACCTCTCGTTCTCTACCTCTCGTTCTCTACCTTTCGTTCTCTACCTCTCATTCTCTACCTCTCATTCTCTACCTCTCATTCTCTACCTCTCATTCTCTACCTCTCATTCTCTACCTCTCATTCTCTACCTCTCATTCTCTACTGCTCGTTCTCTCCCGCTCATTCTCTACCTCTCATTCTCTACCTCTCATTCTCCCCTGGTCGTTCTCTACCTCTCATTCTCTACCTCTCATTCTCTACCTCTCATTCTCTACCTCTCGTTCTCTACCTCTCATTCTCTACCTCTCATTCTCTACCTCTCATTCTCTACTTCTCATTCTCTACCTCTCATTCTCTACCTCTCGTTCTCTACCTCTCATTCTCTACCTCTCATTCTCTACCTCTCATTCTCTACCTCTCATTCTCTACCTCTCATTCTCTACCTCTCGTTCTCTACCGCTCATTCTCTACCTCTCATTCTCTACCTCTCATTCTCTACCTCTCATTCTCTACCTCTCATTCTCTACCTCTCGTTCTCTACCTCTCATTCTCTACCTCTCATTCTCTACCGCTCATTCTCTACCACTCATTCTCCACCTCTCATTCTCTACCTCTCATTCTCTACCTCTCATTCTCTACCTCTCATTCTCTACCTCTCATTCTCTACCTCTCATTCTCCACCTCTCATTCTCTACCTCTCATTCTCTACCTCTCATTCTCTACCTCTCATTCTCTACCTCTCGTTCTCTACCTCTCATTCTCCACCTCTCGTTCTCTACCGCTCGTTCTCGACTGCTCGTCACCCTTTGCGCCCGGGTTCCACGTGAAGCACCGACCAACGCTCTGTCCAGTTACCGTGCACACAGCGAGCGATGCTACCTTTTGTATGCGCAAACACGTGCTGGCAACAGGAGTTGCGGCTGCCTCCAATTGCCTCGCTGAGAACGGACTTTACACATTTACAAAGATCCCCCGTATAGCCTGAACAGATTGTCGGGGCAAGTGCTGTTAGCGAGCACCTTTTGAACGCCGGCGCGGCGCACGAGTTTGGTGGGTGGCCAGCGCCACGCCCAGCCGCCTTTGTCTCCCCAGTGGCGATGTTTACACACCGCACCAGGTACTCATTGGAAGCTGAGTCGACCTAGGGGAGGCGCAGAACCGGTTCATATAATTGTCGTCACTGGGTGTTGGCCGTGATCGGGAATAGAACCCGGGTGGCCAGGTTTCGTAGTGCAGCGTGTTAATCACTGCACTGCCGCTCCCTACACATCTATATACACACACACATGCATAATGTTCATACAGCCATGGTCAATCCACTGATGAATGACGGCGACTCTCCAAGCTGCCATCGCGGCCGCCACCTCCAGCGAATTACCTTTCGATGTTCTTGAAGGTAAGACAAAGATCAGGCGTGTTCGGAGTGTATCCACCCTTACACGTCACCTTCGATATGGAATTGCAGCAACCGTAGTGCACACATCAATCGAACTAACATTTATCATTTAAAACAAACGTATTTTACGTAATACAATGTATATACGATATCGACAAAGTAGTGTTTTAACGATGATACGCATACCAATTGAATCTAAGCATTTTTACTTATATATGACCATTCATTCATGCATGCATCGGCGTGGTAAAGTATGACCACATACCCTCGCCCATCAACGGACGACCCCGTACGGCATAGATGATGGGAGGCCCATCATCCAGCAGTGGATAAACATAACTGGTGATGTATAATGTACATACCACAGCGCATACACAGTGTATTTGTAAAACGCATTTAGTATCGATGCGCGTCTTGAATGACCAATAATTCGTACATATTTTTACATACGACACACAAAGACAAAGATCCACGCTATAGCCTTAATAGACTATTGGGGCAAGTGCTATCCATATATATACACACACACAGTGTGAATGAGCCATTGTAAAACGTATGTTAGTATTTATACGTCTTAAATGGCCCAGTATTTGCACGCCAGACAGACACGTGCGGTGTAAATGGGCTGCCGTAGGACATATCACTGCAGCGTACGAAGAACGTCCACTGAACGTCACGTTGATGGGGCATTCACTCGCGGTCTGGATCTCTCGCGTCCCCTCTTCTCCGTTGTCGCGCTCGCAGTGATCACCACTAACACCGACGACGAAATCCCGACCCTAAATCAGGCGGCCTAGGCGTGCGTGAGTGCAGAGCGCGCAAACATCACACGGCCACTTCCACAGAGGAGACATTTTATAGCAAATTTATTCGCATGATTGTCCAATCCCCCCACCCACCCACCCCAGCGGTTTCGATGGCATTGTTTTTGTTCATGTTATTTTATGTACAACACAGAGACACAAACTTCGTGCACGGACAATGAACGTAATTCCTTATCTCGTTACTGGGTTTTTTTTGTTTGTTTGTAGATTTTGTTTTTTAACAAAAATGAAATATAATGTAGATAAACATCTTTTTTTTGTATATTTACAATTACAACATTGAGACCTCATTGGCTAATGGGCGATTAGCGACAATATATATAGCATAGAGAGGAAACAGGCGTGCATTGGTGATTGTCAACATATGGATGATGTAATTATCGTAAATACAGCTTTAGTCACACGATGTGTGGTATTGGGGCGAAGACGCGGTATATTTATAAGCACACCAACATGACATGATGAATACAAGTCCTCGATTGTTTTTTTTACAGATAAAAGTTATATTTTCCAGTGCTATCGACTGTTTCAAGTTGGTATGTATTGTTGTTTGTGTGTGTGTGTGTTTGTTTTGCTCCGTATGTTTGTTTTTTTAAAGATATTTCTTTAAAAAAATGTGTATACGCGTGCTGTCGCGTGGATACATCCATGAATTGCACCGCGTGCAAAACAAGATGTAGGGTAGCCAAGTCCATGGAAACGAAAGAAAATAGGCGACTAAAGATACCGAGATGAAGACGGGACACGAGAGAAAGACAGGGTGGGACAGTGCAGCTGTCGAGAAAACGCTCATGACAAAAAAAGAGAGCAAAAAAAACGAAAAAGAAGAAGACCGAGCGACTCTGAATCGTGATAAATAACCCCCCCCCACAAAAAAATATAAAAACAACACTGTCCGTCATCTCTCATAGCACGCTCTGCACGATGACCGCCGTCTCACTTGCACCGTGGAGCAGTTAGCGCAAAGAGGAACAGATGATACAGGCGGTAGAAGGAGAAGGAAGAAGATGATGACGAGGATGGGCCATGGACGTGGCGCGGCAAAAAGACGAGAAGGTTTCCTCCGCCACGGGAACGCGTCTGGAGACGGCGTTGGGTGGTGGCGAGGAGCGTCAAGCCTCGCAGTCGCTCTCGCTGCACGCGGGCGACGTGGTGCAGGCCGTAGCGGCCGGCCGGTCGCTCAGGCTGGAGAGGCTCGTGGCGCCGGGGCTGGCGACGGCGCCGGGCGATTCGCTGAGCTGACGACCCTCGCCGCCCGCGCCGTAGCCGCGCGAGTCCGGGTGCGCGGCGCGCTCCGACGAGCAGAGGGCTATGGGCACCTGCAGCCTGACAGCGAAACGCACAACACAGCGGCAGCGGCAAAAGTAGCAGCAGCGGCGGCAGCGGCGGCGGCGGCAGCGTGCAGTACACGCACGCACACACACACACCTCAGGTCATGCGACGTCCTGCATCACCTCCTGCGGGGAAAAAAATAAAGCAGAACGCAAAGCCTGCCGCTGAGCGGCCGGTGGCCTGCAGCAGCAACAACATCTGCACCCTACATGCAGGTGCTGCAATCAGCGACCGACAACGGGTCCCTCTACAGTCTACACCCCGCAAGCTACATCCTGCGTCGTTGTCATCTACCGCACCCTGCAAACCAGCAACCTACAAAGTACACCCTGCAAATACACCCTGCATCGATGTCCTCTGACTCCTGCAACCAGCAACCGACAACGTGTCCCTTCGCAGTGTACACCCTGCAAGGCTGCAACCTTTCCCTTCTGCAACCTGGAAGCAGCCGGTAACCTGAGACCGGAACGCCGCGTTCTCGTGCACCTTGGGGCAGGCAATGCGCGCGCGTTGCTGACGAAGCACGAACCCAACTCACGCCGCCCTGGAGACGAGCGCACGAGTTCGGATGGACAATAACTTCCGTCAAGAACAACATGAGCGGCAACAATAGCATCATCGAGCACGTGATCTAGGCCACGAAGTGTGCCAACAATTCACCTGGGGAGCTTTTGGCTCGGCTTGCATTCACAGCCACTGCACCTGGCCTGTATTTTAGCCAGAGAGCAGGGTACGCGTGTGACCTGGCGGTGGTCAATAGAAGCTACCGCTCGTGACAGATGCCCTCTGCTTGTTAAGCTCGTTGGGGTCACGAGTCTGGGCTGTTGTTGTTTAGATGTAGACCCAGGTAGAGTTATTGTGTGTGTTCTTCGGCCGTGTGTAGTCAACAAAGGCGGAAATGTATGGATTTTAAATGAGGATGTTATAGGAATATAACTTTGTTTTTAAGGTGAGGACACATTTTAAATCGGAACTCTGGGGTTTCAGTGACAATTTTGCTTTGTTTCCATATTACTCAAATGTGAAAGCAATGCACGTTATATATATTTATCCCTATGCATCATATAAAACGTACCATTTTAATTCAAGTGCAATGTCTGTTGTAATATGTTTACTCGAGAGAGAGATATATATATACACACACACACATATTACATATATATTTGTTCCAAGTGGCATTACTTGTGAAATCAAATGATCGCCGCGCCCCACTTGTCGCACGAGTCGGGGGGGGGGGGATGTCACCCGCGCTCGCCCCACGGGGCTCGCGCCTGGAACGGGGAGCCCGAGAGGGGAGGGCCCACGCCCTGCCTCCTCGTGTCGTCCTCCGCGTGTCGTCCTCCGCGTGTCGTCCTCACGACCCTCGCTCGCCCCGCGGGGGCTCCAGTAGCAAGAACGCCGCGCAACCATCGCTCGCTTCGCGCATGGCAATGCCAACGAGAGTGACCGCGGTTCGGCAATATATTCTTTAATTGGGCCAATAGGTTGCCATAACATCGGGGTAAGGCTTATTTTCTTTGAGCTTCGCGCCCGTTCTGCTGTTTGTACGTTCGGTGACGTCCAGACGCGTGGGTGGAGGAAATGTACAAATACATGAGAGTGTGTATGTATATGTGTGTGTGTTTGTTTATGTTCGCTAACAGCGCTTGCACAAAACGTCTGTTAAGGCTCTACGGGGCGGTCTTTGTCTTTGTTAAGGCTTTAGCCATTGCGTTACAATTTGTATTTCATTCGGACAAATCCTCGTGTCGTTCTCCCACGGCCGATGGCATTCTCACATAAACAGCATTAAAACACCGTGATTATTCACAACCCCACGTAGTGACGTTATAATCATCTGTAATTCCATCGTTAATTACATTTCTGCATTTGACTCAAGTCTGGGAAAAAAAATGCGATTGCGTTAATCGGTGCTGTGCGTGTGCTCGTAGATCTACGCGTTTGTGTATACACATATACGCACACACGCACTATATATATATGACAACGCTCACGACGTGGTGATACATTCCATACAAAACCATTCATTTGTCATGGACAATCGCCACGGACCATGACGACCCGCAAGTGCCGAACGTCGAGAGGATGAAGTTCTGAGAGCTGACGTTGCGCTTTTCTCGACAACGCATCTTGACGGCCCTCTGGCAAACGTGACCATTTTTTTTTTGGTTTTGTTTCCTCTATCTAAGGGGTACATTTCAGAGTCGCGAGAACGCACGTTTGGATGGGAAATGTTGCAGATATTGCCGGCAACATCTGCTCACTGCCCCAGCCGAGAATGCCGAGGCGCTGCGCGATCTATTTACCACGACACAATGCCCCGCGTGGGCAGGCGATGCAGACGCCCGATGCCCTCGCCGTATGGCATGGAAATTAGGAACCTTGCCAATTGAAAACGAATCAGCGACGCATCGCACAGTCCACGACGCTGCGACCGAAATCACTCGAGGTATTTATATGTATATATATGTGTGTATTTCTAAGTGACGGCCTACATTCATATATATATACACACACACAACTTTATTTCCCTACGTACCACGTTGAAAATTATATTTTGACAATACAACAGTAATAATACCAACACTAGGGTATATAATGTTCGTTTTAGATATTTAATATTGTAAGCAATTATAGCGGATTATGCCCAACAGTGCCCTTGTTGTTACGCATTCCAGATAATCGTGCACATTTTACTAGAAACCAAAGCCGCTACTTACTCTGTAAAACATTTTAATTCTTAAAGCAAATAAATAAATGTTGGACCCCACGCAAATGTTGGGCCCCACGTCAAGGTGTACTTTGAGTTGTGCACGACGGTCTCTCGCATCCAATTCGACGCTCGCTGCCATGACCTTCGTCGCATTGCAAAGCGACAACAACAACAACAACAACGACAACAACAATGACAACAACGACAACAACGACAAAAACAACAACAACAACGACAACAACGGCCTTGATATCGCGACGGGAGACGCGCCTGATATTTTGTTTTTCTCTGCCGAATTAACTCGCAAGCATTCATTACGACGCAGCGTCAACAGCCCACTCGCGTTGCGTAAATATCCCAACGCATCTACAGTACACTTTGATGCATCACACTCGCATCATCATCATCTCTCGTCGTCGTTTATTAACACGTATTATTCGTATTGCTGCTGCTGCTACCACTACCACGAGACCGGTCGTCTCTGAATGTGAACGAACACCGAGAGAGAGAGAGAGTGAGAGAGAGACGGCGAGTATCGTTGCAATAAATCGGGAAGCGCCGTACCAAGTAGCCGCTTGACTCGTGCGGATTGAAGCCCCCTCACATTACGGGCGATGACAATGACGCGGCTTTCTCGAGTCTCCCCTTCGCTTCGCACGACGCAAAACAGCAGCAGCACCACCACCACCAACGCTACCACCACCACTCATCACCCACCTATTTTTGGCCGCCGCAGCTCTGTCTCTTTGCCTCCGATTCTTGAACCAGTTGCCCACTTGCGTGGGCGTGAGGCCAGTCGCCTGGGCAAGCTCCCGCTTCTTGGACGGATTCGGGTACGGGTCCTGCAGGTACCACTCCCGCAGCAGATTGCGCGTCCGCTCCTTGAAGCAGTGCGTCTTCTGCTCGCCGTCCCAGATCGTCTTGGGCAGCGGGAACTTCTTGCGTACGCGGTACTTGTCCACGGGACCCAGCGGACGGCCGCGCGACTTCTCTGCCTCCTGGTAGTGCGCCTCCAGCCACATGGCCTGCAGCTTGGCGTGCGACTCCTTGGTGAACTTGTGGTTCTCCAGGATGTGGTAGAGGTCTCTGAAGTTGCCCGCGTGGAATGCCACGACGGCGCGCGCGCGGAGCACCGACTCGTGCTTGTTGAGGGCCTCCCAGGCGCTCGGCGCCACGGGCAGCGACCAGAGGAAGCGGCCGAGCCGTTCGATGTCGCCGCTCTCCTCCAAGGTCTCGCACACGCTCGCCACTTGCTGCGGGGAGAAGCTGAGGATCGGCAAGTGAAACATTGATGCCTCGGGTACCGGGGGCTCGACCCGCTGTCTCCTCCGAGCGATTTTGCGGCCACGCACCGCGACTATGATTTAAACAACCGCTTATCCCGAGCCTCGGAGGATATGCACAGCGGCGCTTTCTTAAACCCCCCGGGAGAAAAAATAAAAAAGCTTGCGCTTAGCGTTTTATGTTGCAAAGCGGGCCTCCCCAGCCTTATTTATTCGGGGAACGAGGCCCGGTCTCCAGCTAGGAGGGCTGCGAAGCCCCAGCTCTTCGGTGGCAAAGAGGGTAGAGTTCTGATTGGTCCTCCATGGCTTGTCTGGCCCCGGTTTCCATGGCTTCTCTCCCCATCACTGTCAAACTCCCTCCCACCCACTCACTCTGTATACCTACCCCGACCTCCTTCCCACCCCTCTTCTCTCTCTACCCCCCTCCTCCCCGTTACCCCCCCCCCCCCCCCCACAAACTCCCCTTTCCCTGCCCGCCACAACCCCTCAACTGCCCCCCCCTCCTCCTCCTCCCTTCCACGGCTCCCTTTAGGCGCACACGGCAGCTCCGGCCAGCCTTGCCAATCAGCCGCCTCCGCTGAGCCGCGCACGCATATCGCGGGGTGCCAAGCACGCAAGCACAGGGGGAGCGGTCCCGGTTGCTTGCCCGTCGACGGAATGAGCCCGACAGGACGCGCGCGCTCAGTGCGCCGTGGTTGGTGCGCCCGGTCCTGGAGGGAGCGCAGAGCGCCGCTCTGCGCGTGTCATCTGCGCGCGGCTGCTGCAACAGCGTGTGTGAAGTGTGTGTGTGTGAAGTGTGTGTGTGTGTGTGAAGTGTGTGTGTGTGTGAAGTGTGTGTGTGTGAAGTGTGTGTGTGTGTGTGAAGTGTGTGTGTGTGAAGTGTGTGTGTGTGAAGTGTGTGTGTGTGAAGTGTGTGTGTGTGAAGTGTGTGTGTGTGTGTGAAGTGTGTGTGTGTGTGAAGTGTGTGTGTGTGAAGTGTGTGTGTGTGTGTGTGTGAAGTGTGTGTGTGTGAAGTGTGTGTGTGTGAAGTGTGTGTGTGTGAAGTGTGTGTGTGTAAAGTGTGTGTGTGTGTGTGTGAAGTGTGTGTGTGTGTGAAGTGTGTGTGTGTGTGCGTCTTTGTGTGTGTGTGTGCGCGTGTGTGTGTGCCGCGTGCACCGAGCAATGCAGTGCGCGCCTTAAATAATGCATTTGCGTCCACGCCGACCGCCAATTAAATCGATTTGAGCGCACCGGGAGGGAGAATTGTCTCTTCGCATTTCCTCCGTGTCCTCGCACCCAGCGAGAGAGCGCCGCGGAGAGGAGGCGATGTGGGGAAAATACGTAGGCAGAGGCGGCACGTCCGTCTCAGACGTCTGGGAGCGCACACGAGCGAGTGAGTGGGTTAGTGTGTGGGCGAGTGGGTGGGTTAGTGTGTGGGCGAGTGGGTGGGTTAGTGTGTGGGCGAGTGGGTGGGTTAGTGTGTGGGCGAGTGGGTGGGTTAGTGTGTGGGCGAGTGGGTGAGTAAGTGGGTTAGTGTGTGGGCGAGTGGGTGGGTTAGTGTGTGGGCGAGGGAGTGGGTTAGTGTGTGGGCGAGTGAGTGGGTTAGTGTGTGGGCGAGTGGGTGGGTTAGTGTGTGGGCGAGGGAGTGGATTAGTGTGTGGGCGAGTGGGTGGGTTAGTGTGTGGGCGAGTGGGTGGGTTAGTGTGTGGGCGAGTGAGTGGGTTAGTGTGTGGGCGAGTGGGTGGGTTAGTGTGTGGGCGAGTGGGTGGGTTAGTGTGTGGGCGAGTGGGTGAGTAAGTGGGTTAGTGTGTGGGCGAGTGGGTGGGTTAGTGTGTGGGCGTGGGAGTGGGTTAGTGTATGGGCGAGTGAGTGGGTTAGTGTGTGGGCGAGGGAGTGGATTAGTGCGTGGGCGAGTGGGTGGGTTAGTGTGTGGGCGAGTGGGTGGGTTAGTGTGTGTGGCGAGTGAGTGGGTTAGTGTGTGGGCGAGTGGGTGGGTTAGTGTGTGGGCGAGTGGGTGGGTGAGTGGGTTAGTGTGTGGGCGAGTGGGTGGGTTAGTGTGTGGGCGAGTGGGTGGGTTAGTGTGTGGGCGAGTGGGTGGGTTAGTGTGTGGGCGAGTGGGTGGGTTAGTGTGTGGGCGAGGGAGTGGGTTAGTGTGTGGGCGAGTGGGTGGGTTAGTGTGTGGGCGAGTGGGTGGGTTAGTGTGTGGGCGAGTGGGTGAATGAATGGGTTAGTGTGTGGGCGAGTGAGTGGGTTAGTGTGTGGGCGAGTGGGTGAGTAAGTGGGTTAGTGTGTGGGCGAGTAGGTGGGTTAGTGTGTGGGCGAGAGAGTGGGTTAGTGTGTGGGCGAGTGGGTGAGTGAGTGGGTTAGTGTGTGGGCGAGTGGGTGGGTTAGTGTGTGGGCGAGTGGGTGGGTTAGTGTGTGGGCGAGTGGGTGAGTGAGTGGGTTAATGTGTGGGCGAGTGGGTGAGTCAGTGGGTTAGTGTGTGGGCGAGTGGGTGAGTGAGTGGGTTAGTGTGTGGGCGAGTGGGTGAGTGGGTGGGTTAGTGTGTGGGGGAGTGGGTGGGTTAGTGTGTGGGCGAGTGGGTGAGTGAGTGGGTTAGTGTGTGGGCGAGTGGGTGAGTCAGTGGGTTAGTGTGTGGGCGAGTGGGTGAGTGAGTGGTTTAGTGTGTGGGCGAGTGGGTGAGTGAGTGGGTTAGTGTGTGTGTGAGTGGGTCAGTGAGTGGATTAGTGTGTGGGCGAGTGGGTGAGTAAGTGGGTTAGTGTGTGGGCGAGTGGGCGAGTGAGTGGGTTAGTGTGTGTGTGAGTGGGTCAGTGAGTGGATTAGTGTGTGGGCGAGTGGGCGAGTAAGTGGGTTAGTGTGTGGGCGAGTGGGTGAGTGAGTGGGTTAGTGTGTGGGCGAGTGGGTGAGTGAGTGGGTTAGTGTGTGTGTGAGTGGGTCAGTGAGTGGATTAGTGTGTGGGCGAGTGGGTGAGTAAGTGGGTTAGTGTGTGGGCGAGTGGGCGAGTGAGTGGGTTAGTGTGTGTGTGAGTGGGTCAGTGAGTGGATTAGTGTGTGGGCGAGTGGGTGAGTAAGTGGGTCAGTGTATGGGCGAGTGGGTGAGTGAGTGGGTTAGTGTATGGGCGACTGGGTGAGTGAGTGGGTTAGTGTGTGGGCGAGTGGGTGAGTGGGTTGGTTAGTGTGTGGACGAGTGGGTGAGTAAGTGGGTTAGTGTGTGGGCGAGTGAGTGAGTGAGTGGGTTAGTGTGTGGACGAGTGGGTGAGTAAGTGGGTTAGTGTGTGGGCGAGTGAGTGAGTGGGTTAGTGTGTGGACGAGTGGGTGAGTGAGTGGGTGAGTGGTTGAGGTTACAGTCGGGACGCTGCCTCCTCCTCCTTCACCTCCATAAAGCCCCCCGCGCCCCCCCCCCCCCCACCCCTGGGGGCAGACGCAGTCCCTGACCGGAGCGACCCGCTCTCTCGCTTGATGTATCGCTCTCTCGCATCAGGTATCACTCGAGTACGTGTAATAGGCAGCCTCCGAGCGCACGCGTGCCAACAGCGGTGCCACGCGTACGTTGCGCGAGTTGCTTCTAAAGTCAGCGACGAACACGCAGACAGACGCACTGACGGAAAGGAACCGACGGATGACGGACGAACGGAGGGTCACGCAGACAGACGGCCGGACGATCAGACCGACAGAACTACAGACGGGTGGACGTGACGTTCAGACGGAGGACACGCAGACAGACGGGCAGACAGCCAGAGGGACGTTCCACTGGAATACGATAAGTCAAGCGCTTTGGAGTGAAGTGCAAAACCCTCTCGGTGCCAGACGACTCAGTTGCGTCAAAACGCAGAGGCGTTCGTGCCATACGTGGAGAGGAGACGCAGCATGTCGACTCTTCTCTTCGACGCATGTAGAGAGGGGGGGTGACACGCACACATGCACAAAGACAAAGATCCCCCAATGTAGCCTTAACAGACTGTTGGGGCAAATGCTGTTATCGAGCATCTATGAAGGCAGAGACAACAAACGCCGGATCGCCTTTGTCTCCCTAGTGGCACTGTTTTTACACAGCGCACGAGGTACTCAATTGAGGCTGAGTCGACCTCGTGGGAAGCCCAGGACCGGTTCAGTCACCGGTGTTGGCCGTGAGCGGGAATTGAACTCGGTCGAAGGGTTCGTAGCACAGCGTCGCGCTAACCACCACACCACCGTTCCCCACGCTAACGCACGCAAAAGACAGACACACAAACGCACCACGGCACAGACACACAAATGCATCTACAAAGAGACACACCAAGCGTACATACATACGCACAAACATAATAACGCACACAAAGAAACATTAATGCACATGCATATACACACACACAAACGTCGAAAACGTGCTTACACGCGTAGACACAAACGCACACCTACGCACAGACACACACGAACGCAAACATTGATGCACATGCGCACACACATGCACACGCATAAACGCACACAATTGCACGAAAAAAAGATACCCCGCTATAGCCCTAACAAACTGTAGGGGCAAGTGCTGTTAGCGACGAACCTATAAAGGCCGGCACGGTACACGAGAGGGTGGGTGGCCAGCACTACGCCCGACCGCCTTTGTCTCCCCAGTGGCGATGTTTACACACCGCGCCAGATACTCATTTTGAGGCTGAGTCGACCTAGGTGAGGCCAAGGACCGGTTCATAATAAAAAAAATCCTCACCGGTGTTTGCGTGCTCACCGCTCCGCAAAGAAAAAGGCCCCCCGTATAGCCTGGAACAGACTGTTGCGGCAAATGCTGTTGGCGAGCACCTATGAAGGCCAGCACACACACACACGCGCATACATACACACAGACACGCAAACGCTAACACACACACAGACGTTTAGGCGGAGAGCCCTGCAGACATACGAGCACGCGTTGTGTGCGTGTGACAGCAGCTGCGCTACGAACCCGGTCACCCGAGTTCGATTCCCGTTCACGGCCAACACCAGTGACGATTATTTGAACCGGTCCTGGACCTCTTCCCTGAGGTCGACTCCGCCTGAGATGAGTGCCTGGTGAGGTGTGTAAACATCGCCACTTGGGAGACAAAAGCGGTCGGGCGTGGTGCTGGCCACCCATCCCCTCGTGTGCCGTGTCGGCCTTCACAGGTGCTCGCTAACAGCACTTGCCCCAATAATCTGTCACGGTTATCTGGGCGGTCTTTGTCTTTGTAACGGACTCAAGCACCGATGGCCTTAAGTCGCCATCGGAGCTGACTTCTCGACAATTAATTAATTTGCCATGAAGGCGATAACTATAATACTATAATAACTATAATACCATCGCCATAGATCACAGCCCCCTGTTGCCCTCCATTGTATCTTCATTAGCAGTGGAAATTAATGTAA